TGTCCACAACAATGGTACTACTGTTAAGTTTTAATTCAATTTTCAGAGAGGTAAGTGAAGCCCCAAGTGCCGACTGGGAAAGGGGTGCTGGAAGTTTTGCTCCCTGCAGGCAGTCTGGAGTTTCCCCGAGGCCTTGCTGAGTGGGTTCCCTGCCTCGGTGAATGGCAATGTCCAAACAACGGTGACCCTCCGGGAGCGGCCGTTTTTGGAACATCAGCTCTGTGCCTGGCCTTCTCCAGGCCGCCTGCAAGCGGCACCAGAGCTGAGAGGTGGGGGTGATTATCTCCATTTCGGGGAAGAGGAAACCGAGGCTCAGAGAGGTTGGGTGAATCTGGTGAGGTTGCTCAGCAAATGGGTAGCAGAGCTGGGGCTCGAGCCCATGTCTTTCCAGTTCCACTGGGCTTCTGGATTCTGTGGCCTCTGTTCTGTCCATTCTCTTTTGCCCTCCAAACATCGGGACCCGGGGACTCAGAGGTCACTTTTGTGGTTCTGTCTCCTCCTTGGGCAGCTCTCCGTAACAGTTGGCACTGTTTCTCAGAAGTCGAAAGAGAGGCCAGTCGCCCCCTTTTGCACAACTGTCCCACCTACATCTTCCCCTCCCCAGGGGGCCTTTGGCCCATGCTCACCTCTTCCTGTTTCACACACATCGTCTTACCCAGCCCTGGGCCTTGCGTTTCTCATAGGTTACCTAGGCTAACTAGGTAACCTAGGCTAACTAGGTAACCTAGGCTAACTAGGCCAGCAGTTGAGTATAGGCCCGATCCAATGTGCAAACCTCTGCCAAGCTCCCTCCCTGGTTCTGACGTCAATAGGCTCCTTCCTGGTGGGGTGGGGGGTGGCGTGCACCCTTGATCGTAGAACTAGGAAAGTCAGGAAAGAGGGAGGGACAGACAAAGGACGTTACAACTTCTCAAGCTATGAAGAATGAGTACAGGTCAAGACATTTAGGTTGAGAAGGGTCACCTGTGGTTAATGGCATGTAGATGACTGTCCCTTGAGGCCTGCTGGAAGGGTCCACTAGCCACAGTCAGAGGAGACAAGTGGCCTGGAAAAAATGTTCTGTGACCTTGACTCTTGGGTATTTCCAGAGCCTCGAGGTGTGAGGCAGGAACCACGAGGATCCCAGTCAGACAGGCCTGGATTCGAATCCTAGCTCATTCGTCAGCTTGCTGGGTGACCCTGCACATTTTTCTTACTCCTTTTGGGTCCAGTTTCTTTTTTGGCTGCACACTCATGCACACGCATGCTTGCACATGCACACACAGTCACCCCACCCCCTCACGCTGACATAAGGTGCTGAGATCCATGTTGGGAACGTTCACAATTTACTCTCATGACAAGGAGAAAAAAATGGCTTGAGAAAAAAATGGCTCACACAGCTTTAGCCTTACAGTTTACAAGGAACTTGCACATTCGTTGTAGGAAAAATAGGTCCTTCGTTTTTCAGATGAGGAAGTTGAGGTGCAGAGAAGTGACTTCCCCAGCCAGAGTGAGCTTTCCAAAGCACAAATCTGAGGGCGACACGCTCCTGTTTCAAGGACCTGCCACTATCCTCAGGGTAAAGATAAAGTGTTGTGTGCATGTGTGTGTGCGAGTTTATGTCCACGGGTGCGTCCATATGTGTCCACACACTTAAGTGCATCCACACATAGCCACGAACGTGCGCATGTGCGTGCTTGTGGGTGCGCGTGTGGGTGTGTGCAATCTGCTCCCCACTCGCTCCCTCCCATCTCCAGCCACGCCCGCCCAGCCGGGCTACTGCTGTTTCCCAACTACTCTGCATTCCTTGCCTCCTTCACGAGTGACATCACAGGAGCACTGACTCTAGAACCAGACCGCCTGGGTTCAAAATCTGTCCCTTACCCTTCTGAGGCCTCAGTTTCCTCATCTGTGAAATGGGTTTAGGAGTACCTAGTTTATGAGGTTTAAACGCAGTATTTGTAAAGTGTATTTGTAAATTGTTTAGAACAAGGCACGACCTATCACAGGTGCTACCTGGGTGTTAAACAGATCACTGGGTTGGTGCCTCTTCTTTTTGTTTTAAAGATTATATTTATTTATTTGAGAGAGCATGAGAGAGAGAGAGAGTGAGCAAACATGAACGGGGCAGAGGGGCAGAGGGAGAGGGAGAAGCAGGCTCCCCCCTGAGCAGGGAGCCCGATGTGGGCTCGATCCCAGGACCCAAGGATCATGACCTGAGCCGAAGGCGGATGCTTAACCAACTGAGCCACCCAGGTGTCCCAGTTTGGTGCCTCTTCTGTTCCTCCCCTATGGTAGAGCAAGTCTCCCCATCCTGGAAGCGTCCATCCCCATAGACTGCAAGATCTGCTGTCTTTCAAGCCCCAGCTCCCAGCACTGCGGGGCCTGGCAGGTCAGAGCATTCAGGAGGCTCCCTCCAGGGTCCAGCCGGGGTCGGCTCCGAGGGCCGTCACTTAAAGGCAGCATGCCCTGTGTAAATCTCTCTGGAAAGCTATACAAATAATAGCCATGCTAGTTAAGCGTGTGAACAGAACAACATCAGGCCGTGGCTCTCCGATTAAATGATTCCTCCTCAACGTAAAATCGTTTCTGATTTTTACTGTGAACTTCTCGGGACCTCCCATCCAAACGCATGATGGCGCCTTCCCAAGCGGCTGCACCTGGACGAATAAGGGTTTGGAGAAGCGGCCCACGCTGCTGGCCCATCTGGTGCAGCTGCTTGTGTGCGCTCCCAGGTGTCGTCCCAGTCCCCAAACTGGACAGTGTCACCAGCCCCCTGACTGCTTAGAGCTCTGGCCAGAAGTGGCAGGGGAGAGGGTCCCACAGGCCCCGGGGGGCAGACCCAACTCCACCCAGCTACAAGGTGGGTCTTCCGAGTTCAGAGCTACCTGGAGCATGTCTGGCTCTGCCTGGAAGGCATTAGGTGGCCGTCCAGGTGAGGCCTGGGAACCTGGGCATCTCGGCGAGGCCCGATGGCAGCGGACCCAGCACGCGCTGAGGCCCGAGAACCAGTTGCTACCATTTCAGGAATTTTATGAGCAGAGCATTAAATAGAACCATCATTTCATCATTAATAATTAAATTGTGTAAATTTATACTTAAATAACTTATATTAAAAACAAAGGTAAGCGTGAAACTATTCTGCATGATATCACGACGGTGAATGGGTGTCATCCTATATTTGTCTAAAGCCACATAATACACAATGGCAAGAGTGAAGCCCAGGGGCGCCTGGGTGGCTCAGTTGGTTAAGCGACTGCCTTCGGCTCAGGTCATGATCCTGGAGTCCCTGGATCGAGTCCCGCATCGGGCTCCCTGCTCGGCAGGGAGTCTGCTTCTCCCTCTGACCCTCCCCCCTCTCATGCTCTCTGGCTCTCATTCTCTCTGTCTCAAATAAATAAATAAAATCTTAAAAAAAAAAAAAAAGAGTGAAGCCCAGAGTCAGCGGTGGACTTTGGGGGATGATGATGTGTCCGTGCAAGTTCACTGAGGGTTACCAACGTACTCGTACCCAGTCTGGGGAGGGATGCTGAAGTCGGGGAGGCTGTGCGTGCCGGGGACGGGGAACAGGGCACTCCGCCTGCTGCTCGACTTTGCTGTGAACCAAAAACTGCCCTCAAAAAATCAGGTGGATTAATTCAAAAGCAAAGGTCGTAAGTACTCAAAGCTCATCATTCCTGGTTATTTTACTAAATCTTTGCTGCCGCCTGAGCTCCCGAGGTTATTCACGCCAATTGGAGCTGCGTGGTAGTGACACAGGAAATGCCAACTTAGCGACACGGGAAATGCCAACTTAGCTCTCATCTTGGCCACGCTGCGCCCAGGCGACGCTCCGACCTGGATGGGAGCGTTTACCATGCAAATGGGCCACCGCCACACATAGGGCTCTGTGATCGCTTAGATTTAAGAAAGTACGTGGGGGGAAAAAAAAAAAGAAAGTACGTGGAATACACTTAAAGTGTGTCGTGTCTGTCGCTGTACATGGTAAATAGCCCCCCGAATTGAGGCCCCATTCTCCCAGCCTTTGAAAACTAACGTCTGAGCCAGCGAAGACACTGCTCCAGGGTTCCTCGTGAGAACTTCATCGTTCGCTTTTGTCTTACGTGCTAATGTAAATGGAAACATCCACCATCATTGCTGGGCGGTGTTGCCCTCATTCTTCAGTTGAGACCACTGGTTGGCTACGGGTAGGGGAGCTCATCACGTGAAAGCATTCTTGGAGAAGCACCTGGCTGTGTGGAATTTATAGTATTGGGTATTGTATTATTTGTTGACTGTGCTACACATCTCTCATATCAGTAAAATTTATAATAAGCATTTACCTGCCAAGGCTGCTTGGCTTCCCTCTTAGTCCCGTAAGATAAAAGGTGAAGGGAGTGTAGCAGGTGCTTTAACAGAGGTGAGGAAGAATAGCTGCTCTTTGTTGAGAGCCTCTTAGATGGTTAGCACCGTGCCAGACATTCCCTCACATTCCCTCATTCAACCCTCATGATCACCTGAGGGAGCTAGCTTAGTTGGGGTTCCCTTGGAAGCAGACCCCGAAACAAGGAATGGAGTGCGCATTGTTTCTCTGGGAGGTGACCCAGGAGACAGCGGTAGGGACGGGGGAGGCAGCCTATCGATGTGGGTGTTACCATGGCGGCAACTGGAGCTGGATCCCACTAGGGGACGCTGGAGCCAGGGAAGAACTAGCCCTCAGGACTCTCCCACGTGAGGGGCGAGGATGCTGGGGCAGGCATGGATACATCAGCTCCTGAGTGCTGCTGGTTGAGTTGCTACTCTGGGAGAGCATTTAATCATTATATTTGTCTCCCATATTGCAACATACTACCTCCATTTTTTTTTCTGTGAAGATGGAGAGAACCTCCTGTTTCTCTGAGAAGGGGCGAGAAAAACAGCACGAATTGTCTTCAATGGAAAACTTAGAAGTCCAAGAGCAGGTGACTGGGGCTTCTACAGTCTTTCTAGGTCTTGGTCTCTCTCTCGCAGTCTCCAGACTTTCTCCTTTGTTCTTCCCACAGTCTCAGAAGTTCTCCCTTCATAGTGATGAGATGGCTGCCCCAAATCTAGCCTGACATCCTCCTGGCTCAAGGGACGCCTGGCTGGCTCAGTTGGTAGAGCACGTGACTCTTGATCTCAGGGTGGTGAGTTCAAGCCCCACGTTGGGCCTAGAGCTTACAGAAGAAGGAGGACAAGAAGGAGGAGAAGGAGCAGAAGAAGAGGAGGAGGAGGAGGAAGAAAGATAAGAAGGAGGAGAAGGAAAAGGAGAAGAAGAGGAGGAGGAAGATGGAGAAGAAAAAGAAGGAGGAGGGGAAGAAGAAGATGAAGAAGAAGGAGAAGGAGAAGAAGAAACAGAGCAAGCCCTTCCCAGGTACTCAGACAAAAAAACCCTCAGTCTTCTGCTTGGGGCTGCTTGGTCCGGCTCAAGTCATGTGCCCACCTCCTCTGGGGGCTCACAGAGGGTGCCAATCTGACCCACCAGACTTACATCTTGTGCCTTTTCACAAGGTGCCCATAGGCAGTAGGAAGGAGAGGACCCCACTTGCCCCTGGGTGACTTGTGTCCACAAATTCTACAGATTCCATCATGTTGGTCCATAAAGTGTTCTGAGCACATTAAAGGGGTGGGGGAGTTGCCATCTTCATGGACAACATGTAACATGCATCTGCTATGTAATAAGGGAAAAGAGAAGCAGGCAACCCTGAACCTACACTGCATTGGCTTCCTTGTTTGTTTTTTACCTTCCTATCTGTCTCCCTTTATTAGACTGGAAGTTTCATGATGAAGGGAGGGCAGGGATTCTGTCTGTTTTTTTCATTGCTACTAAGTATAGCAGCTAAAGCGAAGTAGGGCATATGGTAGATGCTCAGTAAATACTGGACGGTTGTGTTGACTATAGAGAGTGTGGGTGCATGTGGAAAGGAATTTGGTTTGTAAGGGCTGGGGGCACTGTGCAGTCCTCTGCATCCACCCTCACGATGACATCACTGTACTATCTGGGCAACAAATGAGGAGAGACAATGAACACCAAAAACAAGGCAGGCACCCAAATAAAGCCAGAACGTAGCCTATTACCTCTGTGACCAGGAAGATTTAGAAAATGCTCCAAGTGGGCTGGCCGTACAGTTAAAAGCAGTGACCATGGACCAGCTCTCTCTGTATCCACCTCTTTAATCCCCCCCCATGGCTCTACTGAGGCATGGACTCTCATCGTCATCCCCATTTTACAGATGAGGAAACAGAGGCACAGAGTTGAAATGCCACTCCCAGGGTCACGCAGGAAGGGCAGCTACGGGCCCAGGGCTTCTCAGACTGTGAATAAGACAGACACGCTTCTGACCCTCATAGAACCACAGTCTACGGCAGAACTTTTCAGACTTTAAATGCACACCTGGGATCTTGTTAAGATCCGCATTCTGATTCGGGAGGTGTGCGGTGAGTCCTGAGATCTCGCATCTCTTACAAGCCCCCAGACTGTGGCCGCGCACGTGACTTAGTAGCAGGGTGGTGCGCTACCTCCCGAGAAGAGGACCTCATGGAAAGCCAGCCACAGAGGGGCTGGGCCAGAAAGCGGCTGTAAGGTGAGCAGAAAGGAGCAGGTTCAAGCAGACCCTCTCTTAGACAGGAAGCAACCCACTGTATTACAACACTTTGATACTTAATCACCAACCCAAGGGCAGCTTAGTTTCTGGCCCAGTCTGGCGGCCTCCTCACACCTCCCCTGCACCATCCCAGAGCCTGGTCCAGCCGCTTCCTGTGATAGTCCTCTCCCACTTCTGACAAGCCTCCCCACCCTCGGGGAGGCCCCACTTTCTGGGATGCTCTAGCTCCTCAGGGCTGCTGCTGGATGCCGAGCCCAAGGAGGGGGCCCATCAACCCCACCTGGGTCCTGGTCCTCACCACCACCTCCATGAGGAAGCTGACTTGGGGTATGGTAGGAAGCCACCTAAGTCCCCTGCCCCAGCCTCAGGGCATGGCTGGCAGATGCCTCGGTCTCCACACTTGTAAAATGGGAGGATGGCCTTTCTAGCCCTAAGTTCTGGTGCCTGACTGCCAGACACACTGAGGAGAAGTCTTAGATTTCAGGCACACTCTCCCCCAATAGTACCTGACATCCCTCGATGCAGCTGGGGGGCAGGTTTGGATCCTGGGGGTAATCTCTCATGGCTGATGGGGGAGGTGTCTTGCTGGGAGACCCTAGGAATGGGCTGTGGCTCTGGGTTCCAGCCAGAGAATGAGGTTTTCACCGAGGGCCTGGCCTGGCTCCCCACCTCCCTCTCTTACACTACTCTTCACACATGGCAGGGGGTGGGCGTGAGGGCAAGGGATGGGCAAAAGGGGAGTGGAGGAAGTGTCTGGTAAGAGTTTAAATATATGTCTGGCAAATGGATGGATTAATGAATGGTTTCAAGTTTCTTCAATTTTCTCGAAGCAAAATTCATGAACCCCTGTTGGGGGAGGCGGTGGGGCTGCCCTGGGAAATGGACGCTGATGGGCTGTGTCCTCTGCTATGTCTCCAAGGTCCGATGCATAGTAATTACTTAAGTATTTGTCGAATTTATGAATGAAGAGAACTGAACAGCTGGGGGAAAGAATATCTCCCAACTAAAATAAAGGAACCAGTTATTTCAACTTCTTGGCATCAGAAAGAGGAATCAGAATCGAGCAGTGACTAGCATGCAGAGAAAGGGTTTGGGCCAGCAGTGATTTCAGGGTGAGTCCCACTGTGAGGTATTGGCTAATGGAGTTCATGCCCACTCAGGTTACATTAATAGATATAAAACATTTAAAATGAAGGGGGTGGTTTTCTCTCACTCAGCTCTGTTTTACCACTTTTGGAGAATTGTCTTGCATTCTGAGCCCTGCTATTTAAAAGAAGCACTGATAGATTGGAAAAGTCCAGAGGAAAGGGGGCTGGATTTTTTGAAGGAACTCCTGGGGATTTATTTTGAGAATAGAAAAATAATATCTTGAAATAGTCAAAGAGCAGTCCTGGGAAGGTGAAACTGAATATTCTTTGTGTCACCAAAATGTGGTAGAAATGTTACAGAGTCATCTTTAGAGTCAATCTTGCAGCAAAGTTATCCAAAGGTGGAAGATTCTGTCTCCTGAGACAGTGAATTAAAGGTCACAGAAAGACAGAGGTCAAATGTCCATTGAAGGAGCTGCTACAAGAGGTGATTCAGCAAAACAGAAAGAGCATCACTGTAGGGCTCAGAAGACCAAGGTTAGAGATGGCTCTGGTTAGACAGTAATGAAGATAATGGCAAGAATCAGTGAAGTGGAGAAAACAACACTAACAACAGAAGAAAAAAAAAGATGAATGAAACTAAAAGTGATTTCTTCAAAAGGATCAATTAAGATAGATAGGAAAATGCAAATAAATATAAAATAAAACTGAGGAAAATATTTATTGATACAAGAGAAACTAAAACACAATTTTAAAGTTTTAGGAAAAACTAAAAGGTGATACATTTTAAAATCAAGACAAATTTTGGAAGAACAAAAAAGAGCAAACACTTACTCAAGAAGAAGCAATTGATCTCCAATAGACCGCTACGCATTTTAAAGATACTGAAATGGTGATCTAGGTCCCTTTGTCACAGAAGGTCCAGGCCCAGATGGTTTTACAAGTGAATGCTATCAAACTTTCAAGGTCGAGAAAATTCTTATCTTATACAAGTTATTTCAAAAGGAGCTGAAGAAAAAGAAACCATTTAATTAGTTTTATCAGATTATCAGTGTAATCTTGATCCTTAAATTAGACAAGTGTAGTCCAAGGAAAGAAAGTTACAGATACAATAAAAAATTCAAACAAACCAGAGTCAATAAATTATTGGAACTGGAGCTCAGTGGGTTGAGTGTCTGACTCTTCATATGGGCTCAGATCACGATCTCTGGGTTGTGGGATTGAGCCCCACATCCAGCTCCACGCTCAGCACAGTCTGCTTGTCCCTCTCCCTCTGCTCCCCCCCCCCCCCAACAGGCTCTCTCTGAGATAAATAAATAATTTTAAAAAAAATTTTAGTTATTTATTTGAGAGAGAGAGCCTGAGTGGGGTGAGGGCCAGAGGGAGAAGCAGGCTCTCAGCTGAGCAGGGAGCCCAATGCGGGGCTCAGTCCCAGGACTCCAGGGTCATGACCTGAGATGAAGGCAGACGCTTAACTGACTGAGTCACCCAGTTGCCCAAAGTTAATTAAATCTTTTAAAAAATAAAAAAATAAAAAATTATTGGAACTAGCAAGAAAGTTCAGCAAGTTTATTAAATACAAAACAACTTTTGAAAACATCAGTAGATTTTTTTACATGAGCAATAAATAGAAAACATAATAATAAAATAGACCATACACGGGCGCCTGGATGGCTCAGTTGGTTAAGCGACTGCCTTCGGCTCAGGTCATGATCCTGGAGTCCTGGGATCGAGTCCCGCATCGGGCTCCCGCTTAGCGGGGAGTCTGCTTCTCCCTCTGACCCTCCCCCCTCTAATGCTCTCTCTCTCTCTATCTCATTCTCTCTCTCAAATAAATAAATAAATAAAATCTTTAAAAAAAAATAGACCATACACAAGAGCAACAAAGCCATAAAGTATCTAGAAAATAACCTAAAAATAAAACACACAGGGGTGCCCGGGTGGCTCAGTCGTTAAGTGTCTGCCTTCTGCTCAGGTCATGATCCCAGGGTCCTGGGATCTAGACCTGCATCGGGCTCCCTGCTCAGTGGGAAGCCTGCTTCTCCCTCTCCCACTCCCCCTGCTTGTGTTCCCTCTCTCGCTGCATCTCTCTCTGTCAAATAAATAAATAAAATCTTAAATAAATAAATAAAACACATGACCTCTCTGAAAAAAATTTTTTTAAATTGTAGTAAAAGACTTAAGACCCCCCAAATAAATAACTATTTCATGCTTTTGATGGGGGTGACTTAATATTAAAAAGATGTCGAATTTCTCCAAATTAATCCATAAATCCAACACGGTCTCAATCTCAGTTCCAGTTGGGCTTTTTTGACGGATTCCGTGAACTTATTTTGAAGAATAAAGGTCTATGACTAGCAAAAGCAACTGAGAAAAATAGGAGCAACGTGGGAAATCTCACTCTATCAGACAATGACAAATTGCAAAGCCCCTGTTCCACAAACCAAGTTGGGATGATACACCAAAGAAGCAAAGAGGGGGCGTGGAGAGAGATGCATGTGTATGTGGGAACTTCATAAACAATAAAGGGGGGGCACGCATTTCAATGGGGGAAAAGAAGGATTGTTGAGGTGTTGGGGAAACTGGGTCACTACAGGGAGAAAAATATGTTAGATGCCTAACTAGTAATACAGAAAAGTTGAACCACAGATGGATTAAAGACTTCAATGTGAAAGACAAAC